AGCTACTAATGGGATAAATGTCTATTATGCTGATGACTTAAGCTCGCTTAATATCTCCTTTATTAAATTCAATTTCATTCGTATATGCGCCACTAAAGTCATTCAGCTTATATTCGCTTCCAAATGGCGCAAAATGGGCATCCAAAATATCAATTTCACACATATGGGTCATAGTTTGCTTCAGAAACCATACCTTTCTAACCAGATTTTTGCCGAGTACACATTAGTTCATAATAGTTAGAATCAGCTATCATAGCTTAATAGGTAAAAAATACGACACCCCACAAAGAAGAGAAATATCTGCAAAACTTACTTGTGAAATGGACATTTTCGATTATTTGTTTGTTAACCTGTCTTAGTCATCTTGCCGTATACTTAATGTGTTGACTCTGAATTTTTTTCCGGAAAGCTGTTGTTTCAGCTTAATTTTGCTGTGAAAAGCATGTATTCAAGGTCTTATTTTGCCAAAATGTTGTAGTCACTGTTACTCCACAGTTAGTTTGGCTATATATCTCGTCCCAACCTAGACAGTAAGCCGTTGTCCCCTACCTCACAACACTACTCGGAGCATGACTCGTCGACACTGTGCCGCGGTTATTAAGATCATTTTAAGCTAGAAACTATTTAGACTGACTTTTCTGCGTCGTTCCCCTTGTACTGTTGTGACCCTTTATAATCGAACACTGCTTTCTTGCACAGACACTACACTCCATCATCGTCTTTGTTATCCTGCATTCATTCCTCGTCTGTAACTTTTCTTCTTCTGTACCAGATACTCCTTGACTCGTTTTCTTGTTCCTCTATACACAGCCGGAGTATCGTATATAACGGCCCGAAGCTAAGCACATATATATAGTGAACAATTTAAATCACTAAAAGTGATGTGTTATGGAAAATTTAACTACTCCTTCTCTTCTTATGGCCTTATTGTTTTGTTAGAAAGCATAATCTAGCATTTGCTTGTGAACTTGGTTATTGTAAATAGCAGTCCTAATTTCCTATCTCATTGTGCTTCTTAGCTAAATATTCCATGGATTATGCACATTTCAACCCTCCCTAAAGAGTGTCTACCTTGATTATTTCGCCTTTTGAATCTCTATATTGTGAATCAGCTGCGTCTTTAATAACTGAGTTTTGCCTCTTATTTAATTTTTATAGACGTATGCACGCAGCTCACCCCTTCATCTTAGCATTTATACATTTTTACTATGATAAAAATTTTATAATCGGAGTATTACTATCATTATTATCGCATTTTTACCCTAAATCCTTTAACTGTAGGCTGATTGTCGGGAGGCCGTAGTTCGTGCAACTTCGGAGGCTGAGACAAATCCCAACCTTGATAAACTGATTGCCACGACTTGTGGTCCAGCTGAGATGCGTTTCTGCACTGGTCTTACGGAGGATTTGATTGGCGCTGTGGCTGATGTATTGCATCGGCCAAACGGTGCCTATCCATCCAGCTCTAACACTCTTCTTTCTTGTCTGATTGACAACAAGAATCATGTAGATATGGAGGAGGGTTGTCGATCCGCCATCGATCATTTTCAGATCATTAGTGAGCTCTAGACTTATTTAGCTATCATGTCTGTTATAGCCACTGGTTGAGTCAGTATACGAATGACAAAATTTACCTTAGATGCACGTATTCGGCATGCTTTCGTTTGTGTGTATACATCTTAATAACTATTTTCAGCTACTCAATTGTTTCTTCTTTGTTACATTCATTATCATTATCAAGTTTAAGTACACATTTAACGATGGGAATTAGGACGTTTTTAGTGCCGTATATGGTTTTCATGCTATAAGATCATCTTTAGCTTTTTCTTTGGGTTTGCGAGACTTATTTGGAATTTAAGTCCTCTACATGCATCCAATACATGATCACAACCAAACTGAGGTCGAGACTTAACTCACCAATTTATGCTCATCTTTATTTTTTTGGTTCCTTTTCTTCACAGGACCTGCCTTTGCTGTCTATATCTTCAAGATTCATATTCATCCTTGTCTATAATCTCTGCCTATAACTTGTCTAAGCATATTTCTTTTATGCAGTCGCTACTCGTAGCTTTTTAACCAATCTGGTTTAAGAGGCTTTGTTGCCATGACCCAAGTCTCAGGTGCGCTACTACGGGTATTACATTTATTGTATAGCTATAGTTTCTCTCAGTTAAATTTAGATTCTACCTTACAATTTCACTGCCCTCTTTTGCCTTATGCTTGAATTATTAGCACTTGTCGATAGATAGGTAAAAATTAAAAATGACAAATCCGCTTTTGAGGAAAATTTGCATTCCTTGCTCTTTTCTGTGTTCCTAGGCTTAAAGGATATTAACATGACGCCAAGCTTCCGACTTTACTGCATCGCTGACGCTAAGCGCCTCTGTCCCGACATTCTTATAAACAAACTATCAAAGTCTTCAATTAGAGGAGCTTTGGTCAGCTGTCTTAGTGAGGTACGTGTCCGGGACGTGATCTATGCAAACACAGTGGGAGTCCGTGATGTTAGTGGTGGTGGGGTCAGACAGCCGCTTTTATCACATGCTTGCGCCAATCAGTTACGTTATGAGCTGCTTCAGAGGTCTGAGTCTATTCTTCACGATCCCGAATTGGCAGCTGACTGTCAAACTGATTGGGCCCGTTTCTGTCAACATGTCAAACCTGGTAATGCACAGGTGGGCATTATGGCATTTTCTGATCTGATTTAGTTCTGATCACTTTAACCTATAGTCGTAAGAATTTATTTTTAATCCCATACTATAGTTTTACTAATTAATTAATTAATTTTTTTTAAATTGTACTCCAATTTTCCATCAAATTTATAGAATTGCTTTATACTAACGAACCACCAAACTTGTGGCAATTTTCATCTACACTTAAATGAGACATGAAGCCAGGGGTGTTACTTATTCCAAACTTGCTATGCTTTGCTATCAAACTTTAAAGGCATGTTACCTTTTTGTGTAATACTTCCAAAGTGTATTTTTAACCCCCCTTGACGACTAATCTTACTTAAAACAATTTATTTTAGGATATAAAGGCTTTCTAGCAGCGTACGCTTTAAGAAATTTAAGATAGATTTGTGGTAAACTACCGAACGTATAAATCTTCAGGATTCTGACCGATTTTAGCCGTATTCACTGAAAAACCTCTATTATTTTAACATCTCTTTCAAAATCATTACACATGCTATTTCTTGTTTTTTTTGAAAATCTTTATCAAATCATTGGGAGGTTATTGGTGAGTAGACATCCTTCACTGTCTTTTTTTAGCTCGCTATTTCACTGTGCTACTACTTAAGGTTTTGATAATGGGGATTTATTCGATCCATATTTTATTCTGAATTTATTTTTATTTTAGGTGCTATCTTGCTTAAAAAAGCATCGCAAATCTCTCACACTTGATTGCCATGCTCGTCTATTCAAGCGCGATCTAGTTGCCGCTGCGGAGAGTCGAGGCGATTATGAACTCTCTCGTGATTGCCACACCATGATTCGCCTACATTGCCGCCATATAATCTCGGACAGCCGTATCGACTCGTTTGACATGGGCCCCCGACTTCTTGATTGTCTAGTGGATAGACTAAGGTCTGATGACTCATCTGGAGCCAATGGTTTCGATGAGACCTGTCGCAAACGTGTAATGGCTGGTCTTGAGCTCCGATCCAAGGACTATCGTTTAGATCCCCGGCTTCAGATTGCCTGCGAGTAATTTATCTTTATATATATATATATATATATCTACCATTGAGATAGATACACATATATGTCATTATTGAGCATTGATACATCTTATCTAAACATCTTGGAGTGACACGTTGCGATTTACGTATTTGTTAATGAAGCTGCTGGGCCTCATCAAAAAAATTTCATTCTAAACTATACCCAACCGTAATTTTTCAGTCAGCGAATTAATCCATTTTTAAATTTTTCAGACTAAATTTCAAGTCAGGTAGGAAAAATTGCCATCTCATCGTTACAATTCATTTGTAACTTTTTGGTTATTTTCAACATTTTTTAATTTTATTATCTCAGTCCACAGTTATACTTTGAAGCTTTAGCATAACATATCAATGAATACTTTGCTTATGAAAAATAAAACTTCAAAATTTCATTTCTTCATATAATATTTAAAGATTGTTTCCGAACTCAAGTGTTTTCATGGCGTGATTTTAGAAAGAACCAGGATTAAACTTTTCTTTGATGAAACAATGTTCATTGAAACATGGAGTCTAGTTAGCTTGTTACGGTACTTATTCCTAAAAGAAAAAAAGAGCAGACAAAGGATGCTAATTTTTATTCGCTTTTAATCAGCTGCTATTTGAAGAAATGAGAGCAAACAAGTAACGAAGTGGTCCTTTCCGTGTGACCTAAACGGCTTATTGTAGCAGACGTAAGAAAATAGTATTTTTGTCAGACATTACAGCATTTCTATCAAAGAAGCATTATGCATTTTTTCATTATAGAAAATGCTTGATTACTATTTGGTTTATATTATCTAGAGATGACAGGGGCGATTATTTGTTTTTTGTGACCTTACAAGAATAGTATGCAGAAGACAACACTTCTTCAGTGGTATACCACTATTGAATTGTGCAGTTAAGATTTAGCCTCCATTAGCAAGTACCCTGTATTACCAATATCTCTCAATTTTTTACCCTTGCATATAATCCTTTTTCCGTTTCATTACTTATACCTATTTCAGTACTGATCTCCAAAAGTTTTGTCTTAATGAAGTTAAAAAGGCCAATGGCACCCCTTTTGAATACACAGGTCGTGTGATATTATGTCTGAAAAAACAATATGTCAAAGGCAAG